CAAGGAGCAGGGAGCCCGATGCGGGACTCGATCCCAGGACCCTGGGATCATGACCTGAGCCGAAGGCAGACGCTTAACCGTCTGAGCCACCCAGGCGCCCGCAACATCTTTCATTTAATTTTGGATCAGGATAGATTCCCTGTCAAGCTGTCATTAATATTGTGGATTTCTTTCCCAACAAAAAGGTTTTTTTTAATTCTAAAAGTTATTAATCACAATTCAGTAAAGAAAAGTCAAGATAACCTCTAAAATCAATAATAGTGAATGTATTTTCCTTTCTAGGTTTTTTTCCCCCCCCCCAATTATAGTCTGGGGACATAATTCCGTAATTTTTCTTGATAAATCTTTGGATTGTACCCAGTTTTTGCCAAATAGTCATCATAATACCCCTTAGTTTTTGGAGGAAACAGAAAAAGGAATTTAATACATTTCTAGTGATCTCCACACATTCCCAGGAATTAACAGAACAAGTCTGGTTGCTTTTCTAGTCTGCATGTGAGTCTGATCTCAAAATTAGTGTTCGGGGTGAGGAGCAAAGCTGGGCAGACATTGTGGGGAAGGTAGCTAGAGAAGTTACTGGTTTATTAATTGCCAGGAGAAGCACCTAAATCAGAGATTGGAATTGCTTCTGTTTTGCTGGGTTAGTATATAGCTGCTATGGACCAGGCTTGTACCACTTGTGAAGCTCTGTGCCTTTGCTTTTTCTTGTACAAACCTATCTTGAATACCTGCTGTGAGCCAGCTCTTGCAGAGGTAGAGAAATGATAGACATGGCTACATACAAAGGAGTTGAAATCGACTGTGGTAGGGGCTCTCTGGGCTGTATTCATACCTTGGTAGTGGAAACGTGGAAGGAGGGTGATTAACTCCAGTGGGCTGTGCCGGGGAACCCTCATGTGGAGAAGAAGCCAAAAGGGTGATCCAGACACCGGGAGCAGTATCGTCGAAAGTGTAGAGATGTGAAGGGGGAGGGTTGTGGTGTGTTGGGGAATACCAACTCTTCAGAGCAGAGGTCGGCAAACTACAGCTTGTAATGCCAGATGCAGCCTGCCACCTGCCCTCGTATGGCCTGTGAGCTAAGAATGGCTTTTACATTTTTAACGGTTGAAAAAGAATCAATAATATTTCATGACACATGAAAATTGTATGAAATTCACATTTCAGAATCTGTAAATAAAGCTTTGATGGAACCCTCCCCCATTGGTTTACATATTGTCTAGCTGTTTTTGCACTATAACTGCAAGATTCCATATCGTGACAGAGACGGTACATGGCACTCCCCTTGCTTGGTATTGCTGTTCAGCGTACACATGGCGAGGACACCATTACAACTTGACAGTGTTTCCAGTCCATGTGTATCGGCACACCACAATGTTTTATTTATTCCTTATTACCAGTGCCCGCCAATCATGTCAGGACAGGTGAGGAAGAGAAAAATGGACTTGGAATATCATGTTTTAGGGCACGATGGAGTGTGAATTCTTTTGTTATCAAATTAGGTAGCAAAGCTATCTTTAATTTTTTTTTTTT